CCCCCCTGTGACAAGGAGGCCGGATGCCAGGTGGCTGCCACGTACCCTGGGGCTGTAGGGTCACATGGTGCCCTGGAGCTGTGAGCAAGGCAGGGTTCCCATCAGAAAAGAAAGCTAGATACAGACTGACCAAAGTGTTCACACCCTGGAGAGATCAGGGAAGGCTTCCTGGAGGAGGCCTCCAAACCAGCGCTACAATAATGAATGCAGTAAGATTCCAGCAAAGGGAGCTGGCCCAGGGTAGTCAGGGCCACGTGACAGAAGCAGGGGGGACGAGTGGGGGGCCACTGTAGGGTCCAGGGAAGGGCTGTGAGAACAGGCAGGGCAGGCCCTCTGGGCTCCAGGCAAGATGCTTGTGTTGAAATTGCAAACCAAGTGAGTGGCCCCTTGTGTCTCTCCAGGAAGCCTCTTGACTCTCAAAGGAGAGGACAGTGAGGAAGATGAAGATACCGAGTACTTTGACGCCATGGAAGACTCCACATCCTTCATCACCGTGATCACCGACTCCAAAGAGGACAGGTGGGTCTCCTGAGCTGGGTGACAGGCGGCAGCCTGGGAGGAGCCCCCAAGCCCGGCCAGCCTCTACACCCTAGCTCTCCTCATCCCCTCTGTTTCATGTGCTCTGCTCTCACCATTTTCTTTCCTTAAGATCTGGCTCCAAGTGATTTTTTTATTTAGGTTGGTTCTGTTTTTCATTAAACCAAAAATCCAATCACTGCCATCAGGTTGATTCCAATTCATAGCAACCCCCATTGGGTTTCTGAGGCGGTAAATCTTTATGGAAATAGATTGACCCATCTTCCTTCCATGGAGCAGCTGGTAGGTTTGAACCACCAGCCTTCTGGTTAGCAGTCGTATGCCTGCTACGAAACCAAAAGTGCAAAAATAGGGTTTATCCAGAAACTCCAAACTCACTGCCATTGAGTCGATTCCAACTCATAGTTTCCGAGGTGGTAAATCTTTACGGAAGTAGATTGCCCAGTCTTCCTTCCATGGAGTGGCTGGTGGGTTTGAACCTCTAGCCTTCTGGTTAGCAGTCAAATGCCTTAGGCACTAGGCCACCAGAGCTTAATAGGAGTTTAATTTAAAATGACAAGGAGCATGGGCCATTGGCTGGGTGGCTCCCAGTCTCCCCTCCGCGCTGCACAGGGCCTGCTCACTCCCCCGACCAAGTCAGCATTCAAGAAAAGACAGATGCAGCAGGGTTTTCACTTCTGGTGCTTGTGTTGTCTGTTGCCAAGAATTTTTTCATTAAAGGACATTCCTTCAAGGTGTTTCCAAATACATTAGAACAAACGGTATTGACCTAGTGTTGACAAATAATGAAAACGACATGTCCAACTCTCTCAGATCCACAGAAAGTGCTGGGCGTGTGGAGCGTACGGTAGGTAGAGAAGAGGGAGCCAGGCCAGCTGAGCGTGTGTCTGGTCATTGGTCAGAGTGGGCCATGGTCAGAGTGGGCCATGATCAGAGTGGGACAGGGGTGCGGCTGTAAATGTAATATAATTAGGACTCAGTCCCTGTTGAAATCTTTTTTGTCCTATCAGAATGCTTAAGACCCAAACAATAGAAGAGTTGGTGTTGGGGTGTTAGGGTATTGGGGGACATGGGTGACAAGGATCTCCATAGATGTTTAGGCCCTGCTGTGGTCTTGGGGTCAAGGGAGATGGACAGCCACTGCTCCGAGTCCTGGGGACACACAGTTACATCACTGACCAAGGCCACTGCCATGTCCACTCACAGGGTGTGTCAGCCACAGCCAAAGAGCTTCATGGCCCCCTCCCAAACACACACACCACCACCACCACCACGGAGCATGTATCTTGGGCAGACACTCAGCCCACACCAGTGAGGAACTATGAGCCAGGGGCCCCACTTGAGTCCACCAGCTTTGGGTACAGAGCAAAGTCTGTATCTGCCCCTCTGCCCACCATACCTCCAGCCCCAACTGCCCTCATGGACACCCCACCCCCCCCAACAAATGGCCAGAGTACAGTGAGCAGTCAAGGGCAAGGAGGCCAGCAAGTCCCCCATGGCTGCTCCGTGGATGGACCCTTTACTCCCTTCCAGCCTCAACCAAGTCAGCTTTCAGGGAGCTTCCTGGCCCCATCAGCAGTGTATTTCAAGTTCACAATCAGTTTTCCTTTTCCAGTAACACTTTGAAGTTGCTTATATCACGCTCAAGGTGAGCACTCTCAGTCAGTCTACTCTCCTTCCTCTTCACACTCAGAAGGTCTGCCCAAGTGGCCCCTGACTCCCTGGAACCCCAGGAACCTGGGCTGTACCTCCTGGTGCCCCAGTGGCTCTGAACCAGCCCCTGACCGAGTGCCCAGGCCCCTCTGTTGCTACCTGGCCAGCAAGCAGGTGACCCTCAGCACCTGTCCCTGCCTCCTGTCAGCTCTTGTGACACCTCTTATCCCCACCCTTCCCGGCTACACTGGGCAGCAGGCAGCTCCCGCTTGGGTCCTGTTCTGTCCTGCCCTGCACCTCTGCTCCTGCTCCCTCTGTCTGCACTGCCCCTCCCCCACCCTGCTTACCCACTGCATCCATTCTGACTCGTAGCGACCCCCACTGGGTTTCCAAGGCTGTAAATCTTCACGGGAGTAAATTGCGTCATCTTCCTCCTGTGGAGCAGCTGGTGGGTTTGAACCACTGACCTTCTCTGGTTAGCAGCCAAGTGTCTTAACCCACTACACCATTCTGCTTAGTGACCTAGATGATCCTTCCATCCCCTGCAGCCCTGAATACCTCAGCCTTTCCACCACGTTCCCTGGGAGCCATGTCTCCTCAGACATGGTGCCCCCTGCTGGCCTGGTCGACCTTTTCTTCTACAAGTATTATAGAAGGTTCCAACCCATTCCCACCCTTACGGAATTCCAGGCTTGTGCAGAGACAGACACACAGACAGCAGGGTCCATTCTGTGACAGAAAGGGGTCCACGGGCTCTGGGACACTCTCCCAGAGATGTCTGCACTGTCCCTGGGAGGGACCGTGTGCACTGACCTCAGACGATGGCGGGAGCCTCTCCACACCGCTGCCCTGGGTTCCACAGCCCCCATGCTGAGTGTCCCAAAGGCTGCAGGGGCCCCCATTCAAGAAGCAGCCAGAGGCAGGCCCCCTTGGACCTCACTGCAGATCTGAGACAAGGTGGGAGACGCTTAGGTTTGTAAATAACACGTCCCCTTTGTGTATCCTACAGAAAAGCTGAGGGCGGGACAGGGGCAGTCTCTGTGGACGACTGGACCACAGCAGACAATGTAAGTGTGGCAGGAGCCCCCACGGGAGAGAACAGGCCCAGAGGGCTTAGGGGGAGGCCAGCACCCCCAGTACAGGCCCAGAGGGGCTGGCTGCCTTTGGGGCTCTGCCTCTGCCACTCCCCCCCCAACCCATGCATGCTCAGTCGGGAGTGAGGGCTGGGCCTGGGGGGCGAAGGGGGCACTTGACCTGCTGACCGTCATACCTGCTCCTGGAAGGTGCTAGACGGTACCTCACCTGGGCCCAAGGGTCCACCCAAAGTCAGGAGGAGATCCCGCATCCCCGACAAGCCCAGCTACAGCCTTAACCTCTGGAGCATCATGAAGAATTGCATCGGCCGGGAGCTCTCCAAGATCCCCATGCCGGTAGGTGGCACTGTGCGTCCCTGTGAGTGGATACCACTAACAGGCAGCCCGTTGTTGCTGATGTTAGGTGCCGTCGAGTTGTCTCTGACTCATAGACTCAAACCCTACCTGGTCCTGTGCCAGCCTCATGATCCTTGCTATGCCTGAGCCCATCGTTGCAGCCACTGTGTCCATCCATCTCATTGAGGGCTTTCTCCTTTTTCGTTGACCCTCCACTTTACCGAGCATGACATCCTTCTCCAGAGAATGGTCCCTTCTGACAACAGGACCAAAGCAGGTGACAGGCAGCCTGAGGAGCCCATTTCTTGATGGCTCCCGGGGACATGTACTTATTTCTTGGCACGTGTTCATTCCCAGGCTTTGTGGGAAGGAGCCAGAGATATGGGGAACCCCAGAGCCTTCTGGGCGGTGGGGCCTCACAGTGTATGCTGTCCCAACATCCAAGCTGGAGAGTAGCAGGAATGGGGTTTAGTGAGGTGGCTGGAGCCTCCTCCCTGCTGTTCACTGGGCCTGGTTCTTCTGTGCCCAGGACATGGGGGCTCAGCAAGGCTGAAGTGGCAGCCTCAGGTCACACAGTAGGCTGAGGGCAGAGGTGGGGCCTCGAGTAGCCAGGCGGGAATGGTGTCTCTGTGGAGGATGAGCTTGGCGGCTCCATGCCTGACTTGGTTTCTCTGTGCGACCCTGGATGAGCCCTTTCATATCGCTGGCTTCTATGTCTGTACCTGCAAAATGAGGGTAATAACAGCATGCACATCACAGGTGTGGGGAGAATGAAATGAGATACCGCAGGAAGAACTCAGCCCAGGGCCTGACATGGGCTCAGAGCCCGGCATTGCTGGAGAGAATGGACCTGTCTGTCTGAGCTTGAGAGGGGGCCCTGGCCACACTCCCTGCCCTGGCCCCTCCACTGAACCCCTAGACAGCAACTAAGCTAACAACTCCC